TTTGTGTGTGTTTTTCTATGTATTAGTGTGCTTTGTTTTATTTTTTTTATGAGTGCATCTTTGTAGGCTTGTTTTTGTTTGCTTTGTGTGTGTTTTTCGTGTTTATCATTGGATGCTATTTATGTCCATGTAGTGTAGTTAATATTAATAGGAGCGCATACTAGGGAGAAAACCATAATTTTGAGCTCATTTTTTCTAGCCAAATCTATATCAAAAACTATAGATTTGAATTTTGAGTTTTCCCACAAGTAAAATTTGATTTATATGTTCTTTTGTATTCATTTGGTGGTCAATTTATATCAACATATGCAAGTTATAGGTGAATATCCTGCGCTCTTCCCTTTTTTAGATGCTTCTTCTCCGTTGAGATATTTTTTGACATGTTTGTGGTCTGCAATTGGTAGAGTTAGTAATTATTTGTACATACATGGTTACCTAGGTAGTGAGTTTTGTGTGTATATGCTTTATGTTTTATCAATGATTGTTTGTATTTTCATGTGTATAGTTTGTTAGTGATTAAAAATGTGTATCATTGTGTGGTATGTATTTTTCTTTTATCAATGATTTTGTGTGTGTATGTTTTCATATCTACACTTTGTGGGTTTTACTATGTGGTGTATCATTGTATAGTGTATGTGTATATCTTTTGGTGTGTTATGGTATATGCTTTTTATGTGAAACAATGTATTTTTATTGTGTGTATCTCTGTGTGTACTGTGTATTTTTCTTTTATCAATGTATTTGTATACNACGTTTTTATGTACCGACACGTACCCTCGGTCTGATATGGTACATTGGTCGCTAGGCTCTCCCTCTTGGCTCTGAGATGTTCCTTTTCCTCGGTACCGAGATGTACCCCCCTCGTCCAGGATGCCGTTCTTTACTTCAGCAGAGGCTATTGATGCACTGGTCACTAGCCTAGGCTAGGCTAGATTAGCTATCATGACCTCGTCTTACACAATTGGTGTCAGAAGGCGCAGGAAGGCAGGGGCCACAGCCAATGAGGAATGGACGCGTGACATATTGTGTCACATCAGAGACAGAAAGACCGCATGACCTTGNGTTTTTTTTTTTTTACGCGTAAAGATAAATTTTATTGATTAAAAATTAAATTACACCTAGGGGGGAGATTACCCTTTGATGTAATCTAATTACATTAAAAGGAATAAGGGAGAAAAATGCATGCATAATACAAAATGATGAAAAAATAACAAAAAATACTATGTATGCCACCTAAACGAGCTAAGAGTAGCAGCTGAATGAGATACCAGCTGAGTGCAGAAGCTTAAATGATTAAATGAGCCATGAGCAGCAGTTGATATGAGCCGGGAGACGAGCTGAGAGTTGAGAGTTGAGCTGTGTGCACGATAAGTCCTGAGAGTTGTCAGATATGGCAACTGATAAGCTATCTGATAAGGTAGCTTAACANTGGAAAAACAAGCATTTAATTACATCATTCCCTTGATGAGACTGCATTCAATGCGGTTAGGCTCGAAAGTGAAAGGCAATAAATGTCTCTCAGGCTGGGCATTTATTGCATCCTTCCCGAGAGGAGCTCATTGAACCGTCGGNCAATAAATGTCTCTAAGGTTGGGCATTTATTGCATCCTCCCCGAGAGGAGCTCATTGAACTGTCGGTAGGCCGATGACACAGTCTTGATTGCTCGGGGTCCCGAGCAGTTAAAAGAGAAGACATTCCTCATAGGAATCAGTGCGCACGTTGCCTGTATCTAATGATCACCTACTGATCACATTGACAGCAATCATGAGTATTTGAGGTATAAATACTCCTCACTAAAGACAGGTGAAACTTTTGCTACAAACTATACTCAGTGTTTTCTTCTTCATCTCTCTCAAAAACTGACTTGATCGTCAGAGGGGATACGCCGGAAAACACTCCGGCGCCCTTCTAACTTGTTCTTTTTTGTTCCAGGAACCTTTCTTCAGCCTTACTGGACCGTTCCTTTGATCCGCGAGGATCTCCCATTACCGTTCCAGGTTACCACCGGATCTCACAGGTTGTTCCAAGCAGCGTGGTTGACCACTCAACTGACTCACTCGAGTTCACCAAAGGAGAGATCTATTCTCGTTTTTATATTGTGCAAGATCTAGCACGCACAGAACCTTTAGTTCAGACAACAATAACTTACCTTGTAGAGAATCAACAGCCTTTGGTCTCACTACATATCCTTGTAACTTTAAGTAGTTTAAAATAACAGAAATAAGACCTGAAGAGTGAGTCTTAGTACCCTCAAAAAGTCTCTTGCATCTTTCCTTCCACAGTTGCCAGAAAATAAGAAGGGATATACCTCTGACCAATGAATGGCTATAAGAATTCCTAGAAAAGGCCCTAGTTAGTCTGAAGAATCTCATCATCGGTAGCTCATGCTGAATTAAACAAAATCCCATTATACTTGCAGATCTATTCCACAACTCCCTTGCATATGCACAATCAATAAAAATGTGAGAGTAAGATTCCTCCCCCTCATGCACAATGGACATCTACCGGCCAAGGAAACCCCAATTTTCTGAAAGCTTACATCCATAGGTAAAGCATGCTTGAACACCTTCCACCCAACCAGCAAAGCACTAGGGGGAACATGCTGCTTCCAAAGGGCTGTTAAAACAGTATTCTTCTGTCTTCTGTCTCTAATTAGATTCCAAGCAGATTTAACCGTAAAAGAACCTGATTCAGTCAACTGCCACACCAATTGGTCAGGATTAGTAGTTAAATCTACAGAGAATGAACCAATTTCTTGCCTCATAGAATTATCCAGCTAGTGATTAACTTCCTCAAGCTTCCATTGATTACCATCGTAGACATCTGCAACCTTAGGAAATACTAGTGGAACTTCCTGCACTTTCCAAATCAAAGCCCCAGATCCAAGCCAGTTATCACACCAAAAGTCTGTCTGCTGTCCTGAACCAATAAGTCTTTTAGAATTTCTGACCACATTGTCAAACCAAGGAGACAACACCTGATACCCTTTGGAATAGGAAAGACCAGAGCTACTAAGCATATGCCCCTTCTTAAAAAATTTAGCAGCTTTGCAACAAACCCCATGTCTGTTTCATTCTAAAAGCCTTTTGGATATCTTCAAACTTCCTAATGCCCAAACCCCCTTCTTCCAATGGCAGAGATACCTTTTTCCAAGAACACCAATGTCTCTTCTTGGTATCTTTTGAATTAGACCAGAGGAAATGACCCATTGCAGAATTAAGCTTAACCAAAATACCCTTTGGAAGATTCAGACAAGAGAGTAGATGAGTAGGCAAAGCATTCAAAGCATATTTAATTAACACCAATCTGCCCATGTGAGAGAGCAATTTAGAATACCAACCTTCCATCTTAGCTTGAAATTTGTGAACCAGATCCTCAAAATAAATGAGCTTTGATCTACCTTTGATGATAGANTTTAATTAACACCACTCTGCCCATGTGAGAGAGCAATTTAGAATACCAACCTTCCATCTTAGCTTGAAATTTGTGAACCAGATCCTCAAAATAAATGAGCTTTGACCAACCTTTAATGGAATCCCAGCTGTTCTCTGCAAAACATTTCTTCTAGGTACTGAGATCTTTGAGGAACAATACAAAGAACTTTTACTCTTATTCACTCTCTGACCTGAAGAAGCCTCATAGTGCCTAATAAACTTGAGTAAGTTCACCAAAGAATTCTTATTTCCTCTCAAGAACAATAAAGTATCATCCGCAAATAACAAATGGCTCAATAACATAGTGCCCCTTTCAGTATAAAAAGGTTTAACTAAACCATTCCGAAATAGATTTGTCAATCCCCTGCTCAACACCTCTTTTGCAATAATAAACAGACTTGGGGAGATAGGATCACCTTGCCTCAACCCTCTTGATGCTGGAAAAAAACCAAACCTCTGCCCATTAACAATAACAGAAATGTTTTGGTTTGATAGGCAGTTCCCTATGATTGTAACAAAATTAGAAGAGAAACCAAAACTGAGTAGAGTTTGCTTCAAGAAATCCCACTCAATTCTGTCATAGGCTTTCATCATATCTAGCTTAAGCACCAGATTCCCCTCTTCCACTTTCCTATCCAGCTCATTGATCATCAATTGTGCAGTAGATATACAGTCCCCAATATGCCTACCTTTGATAAAACCATGCTGTTCACTAGATTATATCCCAAGCCTCATGGAAGATTTTTCCAGAAAAGCCATCTGAACCTGGGGCACTCTCTACTGACATTGAAAAAACTGTCTCCTTCACCTCCTCCATTGTAGCCTGAGCTGTCAGCATGTCATTGTCTACCTGTGATACCAGCTTAGGGATAACAGAGAAAAGCTCATCCTGCACAATATGTTGCTCAGAAGAATAAAGTTGCAAGAAAAAACGAACAGCACAGTCTGCAATATCCTTCTCCTCTTCCAGCCATAAATCTTCCTCATTTTTAATTCTTCTGATTCTATTTCTGACAAATCTACCTTTGGCTACCGCATGATAGAGCTTTGTGTTTCTTTCCCCATCCAAAGACCACCTCATATTAGCCTTTTGTTTCCAGTAAATCTCCTCCAACCTTAGAGTGTTATCCAATTCTTGCTTGGCCTTCTCCAACAGAAACAAGTTGGACTCTGAATCATCTTGTTCTATAGCAAGCTCAGCCTGCATTAAATCTGCTTCTTCCTTCTTTATCTTCTCAAAAATATTGCCGAACACTTCTTTGTTCCATTGTTTTAAATGAAACTTTAAGTATTTCAATTTCAAAAATACATTCTCAATCGGATTAGATGAATAATTCCTCCTCCATTTCTCAGCAATCAAAGATTTAAATGATGAATGTTGTACCCACATGTCTTGAAATTTAAAGTATGCAATCCTACGGACATTAGTAGTATCCTGAATGGTAACCAACAAAGGACAGTGATCAGACCTGCCTCTAGCCTTATGCCTCACTTCTGTAGATTCAGATCTAACACTCCAATCCAGATTAACTAACACTCTGTCCAGCCTTTGCCACATTCTTGCCCTACCTTGTCTGAATAAAATTCCCAAAATCATCCATTGCATTGACACAAGGAACTGCCCCACCTCTTCTTTCCGCAGACTGCACAATTGCATTGAAATACCCTGCCACCATCAATGATCAAAATATCGTTTCGGTGTATTGTTTCGGTCACTTAAGAAACGGAAACGTTTCGATGTGTTTCGAAAACGTTTCGACCCGTTTCGAAAACATAATGAAAAAAATAAAAAATTTAAGAATTATTTTTTTAAAGCATTGATGAAAATATATCAAAATATCTTGAAATATCTTGAAACATTCTAAAACAATTGTGCAAATGTATTGAAATATTATAATACATTTAAAAACATTATGAAATACCTCGAAATATCAAAATTTTGATTCTATTACTGTTTCGTTTCGGTCTCTTTGGAAACGGTTTCCAAACGTTTCGACCGTTTCGAAATGATATTTTGATCTTTGGCCACCATCCATGGTATTGAATTAAACTGAAAATTACTTAAATGCTCCCAAAGTGGTCTTCTCAACATGTAATCACACTGGGCATACACCACAGTAATCAAAAAAGGAAGAGAGCCCAAGAAAGAAGCTTCAACCGTTAGAGCTTGTATATGAGAATCCACCCCCTTCACCGTCAATCTTTGATCCCACAGAATCCAGACATACTTCTCTGCCCTAACATTAACCTCATATGACGACATATTTAAAAATTTGGACAATCTAACCAGACTTTGAACCCCCTGTTTAGGCTCTAGAATTGCCACCAAGCTAATATCATGCAACTTTAATAACTTCTTCAGGCGCCTCTGTTTTGCACCTTTTCCTACTCCTCTAATATTCCATAAAAGCATATTAATCATTTAAACTGATTTGATTTTTTAATCAGACCAGATTTTGATCTGGTTACCATGCTCGTTGGAAACACCACTGATCTTCTTATTTTTGGACTATAATTATCATCATCTCCTGATGCTTGAGAGTCTACCTCTATGGGTTCAGAATTATTAGGATTATCTCCATCTGAGTAGAAACCTCTATCTGGGGGTTCCTTGCTACAAACTAATCCCAGTCCCTCATCCAAGCTAACATTAGAGAGTTCTCTACATGTATACGCATGGTCCATATAAAAGGTGGAATCTTCAAATACCTCCTGTCCCACTTCCCTATCTTGTTGATATCTTATCTTTTGCTTTGGTGACATAGTCTTTATTTGCTTACCTGTCTCATCTTCTGCATTCTTCTGAATTGTTAAAATATCAGATTGCACAGGTTCCTCATGATGTTTATTTTGTTCCAGGTTCTCTCTCATTGCCTCGTGACTGAAGGATGAGAGAAGTGCATTATTAACTACAAGAAGGGATTGCTCTTCTTCCACGGGAACCATAGAAGTTTCTGCCACAGCTACAGGATCTTGAACAAGATTTACAGAATCTTCTCCTTGCCTAGTTGCCTTCATTAAAATATCCTTGCCCAAAATAGTTGGGTCATCTTTACCCGAATGTTCTCCTGTTTCCATGCTTTTAATTGTGACTGTTTCCAAATCCTGTGCTTCACAATCGAGAATAATTGGGTTTACAGAATTACTATCTATTACTTTCTGGNTAAATGCTCCCAAAGTGGTCTTCTCAACATGTAATCACACTGGGCATACACCACAGTAATCAAAAAAGGAAGAGAGCCCAAGAAAGAAGCTTCAACCGTTAGAGCTTGTATATGAGAATCCACCCCCTTCACCGTCAATCTTTGATCCCACAGAATCCAGACATACTTCTCTGCCCTAACATTAACCTCATATGACGACATATTTAAAAATTTGGACAATCTAACCAGACTTTGAACCCCCTGTTTAGGCTCTAGAATTGCCACCAAGCTAATATCATGCAACTTTAATAACTTCTTCAGGCGCCTCTGTTTTGCACCTTTTCCTACTCCTCTAATATTCCATAAAAGCATATTAATCATTTAAACTGATTTGATTTTTTAATCAGACCAGATTTTGATCTGGTTACCATGCTCGTTGGAAACACCACTGATCTTCTTATTTTTGGACTATAATTATCATCATCTCCTGATGCTTGAGAGTCTACCTCTATGGGTTCAGAATTATTAGGATTATCTCCATCTGAGTAGAAACCTCTATCTGGGGGTTCCTTGCTACAAACTAATCCCAGTCCCTCATCCAAGCTAACATTAGAGAGTTCTCTACATGTATACGCATGGTCCATATAAAAGGTGGAATCTTCAAATACCTCCTGTCCCACTTCCCTATCTTGTTGATATCTTATCTTTTGCTTTGGTGACATAGTCTTTATTTGCTTACCTGTCTCATCTTCTGCATTCTTCTGAATTGTTAAAATATCAGATTGAACAGGTTCCTCATGATGTTTATTTTGTTCCAGGTTCTCTCTCATTGCCTCGTGACTGAAGGATGAGAGAAGTGCATTATTAACTACAAGAAGGGATTGCTCTTCTTCCACGGGAACCATAGAAGTTTCTGCCACAGCTACAGGATCTTGAACAAGATTTACAGAATCTTCTCCTTGCCTAGTTGCCTTCATTAAAATATCCTTGCCCAAAATAGTTGGGTCATCTTTACCCGAATGTTCTCCTGTTTCCATGCTTTTAATTGTGACTGTTTCCAAATCCTGTGCTTCACAATCGAGAATAATTGGGTTTACAGAATTACTATCTATTACTTTCTGGGAATAACTTACTTGTTTGGGCTTCTGTTGCTGCTTCCATACACCTTTAAATGGTTGGGCTAAATTTTTTTTTTTTTTAAGAGGAAGAGGGAAGGAGGCTTGAACCTTTGACCTCAAGAAGACAAAACCTTCATAAGGTAAAGAGTACCATTGGACCAAAGGCCCATTGGTGTGGGCTAAATTAGCCTGCTTTGATTGGGGATGATTGGTCCTTTGTCCAGCAGCTTCCTTGTGCGAATTTCCAGTAGTTTGAATTAACTGTCGTCTTTCCTTTCCTTTATTCTTTTCAATTCTTTCCTTTCCTGTCTTACTCTCCTTGGAAACTAAATTATTTCCTTTCTCCTCTTCTGGCAACACAAACTTTCCTTTTTCTACATTCTTCCTCACAATGGCCTTGTTTTTTGCAGCTTTTGCAGAACAGCTTGTTTCTCTCATAGATAATTCGTTGCCATCTAGCTCCCTCCTCCCCCATGTCGATCCAAATTCTAGAGGGATTGTTTCTCTCATAGATATGTGTTATGTTTGCTTTTGAATTTATAAATTATGTTTTATTTCTTTTTTGGTTATCTTTTTATTAAAGTTGTTAAATGTCGGCAACAAAATTCAACTACTTGGAGAGGGAGCAAAATGTTGAAGTATGGAGGAAAATTAAGAGTTTGTAGCACGTAGAAGATATAATAATAGAATTTAGAATTCAAATTGGGCTTAGGGCTATAGGGCTTAGGGCTTTGGCTTAAGGTTTAGGGTTTATTATTCTTTTGCTTTTTTTTCTCTTTCTCTTTGTCCTTCTTCTCCTATTTTTTTTCGTTTATTGTTCTTTGTTGTCCTTAAAATTTTCATTTTAGTTGTTTTTGGAATTGATGCTGGCTTATGAAGGAATAGGGAGAGTTGATCGGGGTAGAGATGAGTTTGCAAAGTGAGTTTAGGAGTGAAAAGATTAATATATCTTTTTGTCCTAGTTCCTTTGACTTTATTTTACATGCAAGATGTGTTTTACAAATAACTATTTCTATTTTTTTTGTGTTTCTTACTTGTTATGATCATTCTTGTATTTTTTTCAACCCCCAATATTCTCATTAACTCAGAGTGCATTAGTTTTCGATAATGATTTTGGTGTTTTATTTTCCTCCTGCAGGGTGCCTTTGTTCTTTGTCGTCTATTTAAGAAGCATGATGAAAAGCAAGATGAGAATGTTGAAGACGAAGTTAAGCAAAATATTTCTTCTCCTTCAGTAGTTAAATCTCCTGCTGAAGGTAATCACTCAGAGCCAGTTACCCCAGTGATGGGTAGACAAGTTGGATTGTATTCTCCAAGTGCTGAAAGTGGGCATGCTGCAACCGAGAATCCAACACTTTATGCTCTTTTACCTATTGACCAGGACAGCAGTAGCCTTCTTGTTGATGATACAAAAGATAAATTGTTAGACATACAATTNTTCCAGTAGTTTGAATTAACTGTCGTCTTTCCTTTCCTTTATTCTTTTCAATTCTTTCCTTTCCTGTCTTACTCTCCTTGGAAACTAAATTATTTCCTTTCTCCTCTTCTGGCAACACAAACTTTCCTTTTTCTACATTCTTCCTCACAATGGCCTTGTTTTTTGCAGCTTTTGCAGAACAGCTTGTTTCTCTCATAGATAATTCGTTGCCATCTAGCTCCCTCCTCCCCCATGTCGATCCAAATTCTAGAGGGATTGTTTCTCTCATAGATATGTGTTATGTTTGCTTTTGAATTTATAAATTATGTTTTATTTCTTTTTTGGTTATCTTTTTATTAAAGTTGTTAAATGTCGGCAACAAAATTCAACTACTTGGAGAGGGAGCAAAATGTTGAAGTATGGAGGAAAATTAAGAGTTTGTAGCACGTAGAAGATATAATAATAGAATTTAGAATTCAAATTGGGCTTAGGGCTTTGGCTTAAGGTTTAGGGGTTTAGGGTTTATTATTCTTTTGTTTTTTTTCTTTTTCTCTTTGTCCTTCTCCTATTTTTTTTCGTTTATTGTTCTTTGTTGTCCTTAAAATTTTCATTTTAGTTGTTTTTGGAATTGATGCTGGCTTATGAAGGAATAGGGAGAGTTGATCGGGGTAGAGATGAGTTTGCAAAGTGAGTTTAGGAGTGAAAAGATTAATATATCTTTTTGTCCTAGTTCCTTTGACTTTATTTTACATGCAAGATGTGTTTTACAAATAACTATTTCTATTTTATTTGTGTTTCTTACTTGTTATGATCATTCTTGTATTTTTTTCAACCCCCAATATTCTCATTAACTCAGAGTGCATTAGTTTTCGATAATGATTTTGGTGTTTTATTTTCCTCCTGCAGGGTGCCTTTGTTCTTTGTCGTCTATTTAAGAAGCATGATGAAAAGCAAGATGAGAATGTTGAAGACGAAGTTAAGCAAAATATTTCTTCTCCTTCAGTAGTTAAATCTCCCGCTGAAGGTAATCACTCAGAGCCAGTTACCCCAGTGAAGGGTAGACAAGTTGGATTGTATTCTCCAAGTGCTGAAAGTGGGCATGCTGCATCCGAGAATCCAACACTTTATGCTCTTTTACCTATTGACGAGGACAGCAGTTGCCTTCTTGTTGATGATACAAAAGATAAATTGTTAGACATACAATCCATCCTGGTGAGGAGTTGAACTAACTTCTAGTTTATATTAGATTAAACTATGTTTCTGTGTTAATTGTGAGCCCAATAAAGTACTTATAATTCCTTCTTTCATAATTTAGCTAGACCCCGAGCTGGAATAATTTTTGGGAGATCTTTGTGACCCTATGCCAGAGCCACTCTTTTCTCCGTTGCACTCGCAGATGCAGGTGGAGCTTGGATCTTCCTACTTATTTGGTCCTCTTAAACGGTGACATCGGTATCAACCACAACTGGATGCAGTTTCAACCAGATACAAATGCGTTAGGTATCAATGAGTTCTTGGACATGGTCCCAGTTGGCTCAGATGAGCATTCCTGTGAAGATTCTGGCAGTAATAAGATTTCAGTTGTTGAAAGTGAAACTAAGTGCATTTATACTATAGAGGGGGTGTTGCCATTAAGGACAGTGGATCATGTAGAAGTGGTCCAAGGACAGGTAATGGAAGCTTCTGAGCATCTTGTAGTTTTCTTTTGCAAGGTTACTGCTACACTTGATGTGTGTCAATGTGCAGCTTAAATTTCTATTGTTTCCAACATATTTTTAGAAATGCAGTTCTAAGAGAATTAACACTATGTTTTGCTTTTGTGTTCTTCAGCTTGAGCCAGGCTTTTGTGTTGGTGAGTTGCTTGAGGAGAATGTTGATCGTGGGATTCTTTTACAGATGGACACAACTCCTGATATATGCAGCAATAATCACATGGGAAACTTTGGTTTTCTGCAAAACAATTACAATTCTGTGCAGGATGATTTCTCTGTAGTTTCTGCTGGCGATCATATCTACAGTTTGTTCAACATTGAATAACCAAGCAATCAGAGCAATGCAGTCAGCAGTGATGATACTTTTGGAACGGGCATTAAAAGGAGGACTCGGCAACCCCAAAATCAATTATGTGCCCAAAACTTTGAAACTCATNGGAGGACTCGGCAACCCCAAAATCAATTACGTGCCCAAAACTTTGAAACTCAGGGAACTGCTATGAGACGAATTCGTTTGCAGGTGGAACCTCAAGTTGGACGCGTTCAATGTAGTCTGCCTAGAGCTATGTGCTCTAGTGAAGAAAATCATGAAACAAAACCACCAGGGGCTGAGATGAGAATTTTTCCTGGTGAAGCTTGCTGACTTTCGTACTGCTTCTTTGGTTCTGACATCCATGAGATTGGCATGTGCAGGTTGAAAAAGCTACCAATAAGTGTACTACAACAGATGCNTCCCAGTTGGCTCAGATGAGCATTCCTGTGAAGATTCTGGCAGTAATAAGATTTCAGCTGTTGAAAGTGAAACTAAGTGCATTTATACTATAGAGGGGGTGTTGCCATTAAGGACAGTGGATCATGTAGAAGTGGTCCAAGGACAGGTAATGGAAGCTTCTGAGCATCTTGTAGTTTTCTTTTGCAAGGTTACTGCTACACTTGATGTGTGTCAATGTGCAGCTTAAATTTCTATTGTTTCCAACATATTTTTAGAAATGCAGTTCTAAGAGAATTAACACTATGTTTTGCTTTTGTGTTCTTCAGCTTGAGCCAGGCTTTTGTGTTGGTGAGTTGCTTGAGGAGAATGTTGATCGTGGGATTCTTTTACAGATGGACACAACTCCTGATATATGCAGCAATAATCACATGGGAAACTTTGGTTTTCTGCAAAACAATTACAATTCTGTGCAGGATGATTTCTCTGTAGTTTCTGCTGGCGATCATATCTACAGTTTGTTCAACATTGAATAACCAAGCAATCAGAGCAATGCAGTCGGCAGTGATGATACTTTTGGAACGGGCATTAAAAGGAGGACTCGGCAACCCCAAAATCAATTACGTGCCCAAAACTTTGAAACTCAGGGAACTGCTATGAGACGAATTCGTTTGCAGGTGGAACCTCAAGTTGGACGCGTTCAATGTAGTCTGCCTAGAGCTATGTGCTCTAGTGAAGAAAATCATGAAACAAAACCACCAGGGGCTGAGATGAGAATTTTTCCTGGTGAAGCTTGCTGACTTTCATACTGCTTCTTTGGTTCTGACATCCATGAGATTGGCATGTGCAGGTTGAAAAAGCTACCAATAAGTGTACTACAATAGATGAGAGGCAAGATATATTCACTCCTGAATCGAGCAAAGATGGTGCAGATGCTCAGGATTTGAGTACGACTGTGGATTCAAAAGAAGATTTTGCTATAGGTTGCCACAAAAAGGTCCTCTCGGTGTCTTTGAAGGTTGCGGCATTGCGTTCAATTTTACCATCCGTGCATATGCCTTGTGTACTTCTAGTTGTAGGTGTGTTTATTGTCTCATTTTTGTCCTTCTCTTCCGCCTTCTTATTCGTTCTTTTACTTCCTTGTCCTGCTCCTCTTTCTCCTCGTTTTCTTTCTTCCTTTTGCTTTTCCTCCTCCTCCTCCCCCTCCTCCAACATCATCTTCTTCCTCCAAAGTCGTCTTCTTCCTCCTCTAACGTCGTCTTCTTCCTCCTCCCTCCTCCAACTTCTCCGTTCTTCTACGAGCAACATCTAGGCATAGAGGAGACATCTTCTTCTTCATCTTCCTTCTCCTTTTCCTTCTTCTTCTCCTTCCCATTTTCCTCCTTATTCTTTTCCTCCTCCTTCCTTCCTCGTCCTTCTCTTTCCCCTACTGTTCCTTATCCTCTCTTCTCCTTTTTCTTCTTCTTCTTCTTCCTCCTCCAACTCCATCAAGCTTCTTCTTCCTTTCTTGATTTTCCTCCTCTTCTCCGCCTCATCATTCTTCCTCCTCTTACTACTCCTCCTCCACCTGCAACTTCTTCCTCCTCCTCCAACTCCTCGCTTCTTCTACGTCAATTNCCTTCTCTTTCCCCTACTGTTCCTTATCCTCTCTTCTCCTTTTTCTTCTTCTTCTTCCTCCTCCAACTCCATCAAGCTTCTTCTTCCTTTCTTGATTTTCCTCCTCTTACTACTCCTCCTCCACCTGCAACTTCTTCCTCCTCCTCCAACTCCTCGCTTCTTCTACGTCAATTTCGAGCAGCAATTAGGCATAGAAGAGACAACTTCTTCTTCCTCCTTCTCGTCCTCGTCCTCCTTCTTCTCCTTATTTTCTTTATTTTTCTTCTTCTCCTNTCTACAGTTTGTTCAACATTGAATAACCAAGCAATCAGAGCAATGCAGTCGGCAGTGATGATACTTTTGGAACGGGCATTAAAAGGAGGACTCGGCAACCCCAAAATCAATTACGTGCCCAAAACTTTGAAACTCAGGGAACTGCTATGAGACGAATTCGTTTGCAGGTGGAACCTCAAGTTGGACGCGTTCAATGTAGTCTGCCTAGAGCTATGTGCTCTAGTGAAGAAAATCATGAAACAAAACCACCAGGGGCTGAGATGAGAATTTTTCCTGGTGAAGCTTGCTGACTTTCATACTGCTTCTTTGGTTCTGACATCCATGAGATTGGCATGTGCAGGTTGAAAAAGCTACCAATAAGTGTACTACAATAGATGAGAGGCAAGATATATTCACTCCTGAATCGAGCAAAGATGGTGCAGATGCTCAGGATTTGAGTACGACTGTGGATTCAAAAGAAGATTTTGCTATAGGTTGCCACAAAAAGGTCCTCTCGGTGTCTTTGAAGGTTGCGGCATTGCGTTCAATTTTACCATCCGTGCATATGCCTTGTGTACTTCTAGTTGTAGGTGTGTTTATTGTCTCATTTTTGTCCTTCTCTTCCGCCTTCTTATTCGTTCTTCTACTTCCTTGTCCTGCTCCTCTTTCTCCTCGTTTTCTTTCTTCCTTTTGCTTTTCCTCCTCCTCCTCCCCCTCCTCCAACATCATCTTCTTCCTCCAACGTCGTCTTCTTCCTCCTCTAACGTCGTCTTCTTCCTCCTCCCTCCTCCAACTTCTCCGTTCTTCTACGAGCAACATCTAGGCATAGAGGAGACATCTTCTTCTTCATCTTCCTTCTCCTTTTCCTTCTTCTTCTCCTTCCCATTTTCCTCCTTATTCTTTTCCTCCTCCTTCCTTCCTCGTCCTTCTCTTTCCCCTACTGTTCCTTATCCTCTCTTCTCCTTTTTCTTCTTCTTCTTCCTCCTCCAACTCCATCAAGCTTCTTCTTCCTTTCTTGATTTTCCTCCTCTTACTACTCCTCCTCCACCTGCAACTTCTTCCTCCTCCTCCAACTCCTCGCTTCTTCTACGTCAATCTCGAGCAGCAATTAGGCATAGAAGAGACAACTTCTTCTTCCTCCTTCTCGTCCTCGTCCTCCTTCTTCTCCTTATTTTCTTTATTTTTCTTCTTCTCCTTCCTTCTCTTTCACCTCTCCTGCACCTTCTTCCTCCTCCAACTCTGTCAATTTTCTCCTTCCTCTCAATTTTCCTCCTACTTCTCTTTCCCTTCTCGTACTCCTTCCTCCTCTTTTTCCTCCCTTCTTCCTCCAGTTTTCCTCGGTTATAGCTTTAGCAACAAAGCTATAGGCTTACTAACAAAGCTAGTATTAAAAGACGCGTATCTCGGGCAGAGCCCTAAAGGAGGCCAAGGTTGGGAAAAGATTTGACCAGCGGAACTTGACACCAACATAGGAGGCTAGGCAGCAACCAAGGCGTGGCCTAAGTGAATTCAGCTAGAGGCAACCGTTAATGAAGACTTTCCTCAAAATATTTTTGACTTTTGATGAACAGAACAACCATTCTTCTTTTCATTTGCCCCTAAAGTTGCAGGGCTCTGATATAATTTTGTTGAAAAGAACAGTAACTCATTGACTTTGNGATTTGACCAGCGGAACTTGACACCAACATAGGAGGCTAGGCAGCAACCAAGGCGTGACCTAAGTGAATTCAGCTAGAGGCAACCGTTAGTGAAGACTTTCCTCAAAATATTTTTGACTTTTGATGAACAGAACAACCATTCTTCTTTTTATTTGCCCCTGAAGTTGCAGGGCTCTGATATAATTTTGTTGAAAAGAACAGTAACTCATTGACTTTGCTCCGGTAGTTGCAAGGCGTATTAGATCAAGTTCCCTGAAGAGATCTCTACCATAAAAGAGAGAGCTCGTAGGCCTTATTCTGTAGATCAAAGAGAGACGTAATTTCCCATTCATCCCCAATAAGTAAGGTTGGACTCTCAGAGAGAAGAAAACTGGGTTACTTTCAGCGAGGACACGACCCCTCTTATATTTGTCTCTCTTTTTCTTGGCTATATGCCCAACTACTCCCTCCTCTTCCTCCTCCTCCCTCCTCCTCCTCCCTCTNGAGAGCTCGTAGGCCTTATTCTGTAGATCAAAGAGAGACGTAATTTCCCATTCATCCGCAATAAGTAAGGTTGGACTCTCAGAGAGAAGAAAACTGGGTTACTTTCAGCGAGGACACGACCCCTCTTATATCCGTCTCTCTTTTTCTTGGCTATATGCCCAACTACTCCCTCCTCTTCCTCCTCCTCCCTCTTCTTCCTCCTCCTCTAATTCCTCCCTCCTCTTCCTCCTCCTCTAACTCCTCCCTTCTTCTACGTCAATTTTGAGCAGCATTTAGGTATAGAAGAGACAACTTCTTCTTCTTTCTTCTCCTCCTCGTCCTCGTCCTCCTTCTCATTTTCTTTATTCTTCTTTGTCTCCTCATTCTCTCTTTCCCCTCTGCTCCTTCTCCTTCCTCCTCCTCTAACTCTGTCAAGTTCTCCTTCCTCTAAATTTTTCTCCTATTTCTCTTTCCCCACTCCTGCTCCTTCCTCCTTCTCTTCCTCCTCNTCCTCCTCCTCTAACTCTGTCAAGTTCTCCTTCCTCTAAATTTTTCTCCTATTTCTCTTTCCCCACTCCTGCTCCTTCCTCCTTCTTCCTCTTGGCTTTTCTCTTTCCTCCATTTTCTCGATTTTCCCCTATCTTGCTCTTCTTTCTCCATTTTCTACCTTCTTCCTCCTCCAACTCCTATTTTCTTCTACGTCAATTTGGTGCAGCACTCGGGCAGAGAGGAGACAACTTCTTTTTCCTTTTCCTTTTCCTCCTCGTCCTTCTTTTCCTCCTCCACCTTCTCCTTCTCCTTCTTCTAATTGTTCTCCTTATTCTTCTCCTCCTCCTCCTTCTATTTCTCCTCTCAATTTTCCTGCTCGTTCTCTTTCCTTTCTCCTGTTCCTCCTTCTCCTTCTCCTTCCTCTTTTTCTTACTTTCCTCCTCCTCCTTCAACTCCGTCAATTTCCTCTTTTTTTCTCCCAAATTTCCTCCTCCTCCTTCTTATTCTCCTCTTCCTCTTTCACCTCCTCTGCCGCCTCTTTCTCCTCCCACCTTCTTCCTCTTGTNCTCCTTCTTCTAATTGTTCTCCTTATTCTTCTCCTCCTCCTCCTTCTATTTCTCCTCCCAATTTTCCTGCTCGTTCTCTTTCCTTTCTCCTGTTCCTCCTTCTCCTTCTCCTTCCTCTTTTTCTTCCTTTCCTCCTCCTCCTTCAACTCCGTCAATTTCCTCTTTTTTTCTCCCGAATTTCCTCCTCCTCCTTCTTATTCTCCTCTTCCTCTTTCACCTCCTCTGCCGCCTCTTTCTCCTCCCACCTTCTTCCTCTTGCTTTCCTCCTTCCTCCTGCTCCTTCCTCTTCATCCTTCTTTTTTTTCTTCCTCCTCCTCTTCTTACTACAACTTCTTTTTCCTCATCCTCCAACTCTTCCCTTCTTTTATGTCAATTTCGAGTAACATTTAGGCATAGAGGAGACAACTTCTTCTTCTCCTTTTCCTTCTCCACCCTCTTTTTCTATTCCGTCCTTCTTCCTCCCAATTTTCCTCCTCTTTCCCCTCTACTGCACCTCCTCCTTTTTCACCTTTCCTTCTCCTTCTCCTCCTCTAGCTTCTTTTTCTCATTTTTGTCCTCCTTATTCCTCCTTCTCCTCTTTCCTTCTTCTTTTTTCTTTTTCTCTTCCTCCTCCTTCCTTGTTCCTTATGTTTTTCCTCCTCCTCCTATTTAAATTTTGAGCAGCATTTAAGCATAGAGAAGACAACTTCTTGTTTTTCTTCTNCCTCCTCTTTCCCCTCTACTGCACCTCCTCCTTTTTCACCTTTCCTTCTCCTTCTCCCCCTCCAGCTTCTTTTTCTCATTTTTGTCCTCCTTATTCCTCCTTCTCCTCCTTCCTTCTTCTTTTTGCTTTTTCTCTTCCTCCTCCTTCCTTGTTCCTTATGTTTTTCCTCCTCCTCCTCCTCCTCCTATTTAAATTTTGAGCAGCATTTAAGCATAGAGAAGACAGCTTCTTGTTTTTCTTCTTCCTCCTCCTTTTTCACCTTTCCTTCTCCTCCTCCAGCTTCTTCTTCTCATTTTCGTCCTCCTTCTCCTCCTACCTTCTTCTTTTTGCTTTTTCTCCTCCTCATTTTCCTCCTCCTCCTCCTACGTAAATTTTGAGCAGCATTTAAGCATAGAGAAGACAACTTCTTGTTTTTCTTCCTTCTCCTCCTCCTCCTCCTTCCTCTTTTCCTCCTTAATTCTTTTTCTGTTTCTCCTCCCTCCTTCCTCTTTCTCCTTTTTTCTCTGCTCTCTGCTTTCTTCTTCTCCTCCTCTTTCTCATTCGTATTCCCCTACTAACTCTTTCTTTTTCTCCTCCTCCTCCTCCTCTCCCTCCCTTTTTCTATGTCAATTTCGAGCAGCATTTAGGCATAGAGGAGACAACATCTGTATGGGGGTAATTAAAAAAGACAATTTTTTGTTCGACAGAAATCGCAGGACTTTCTACAAATTCTGCTACAGNAGCATTTAAGCATAGAGAAGACAACTTCTTGTTTTTCTTCCTTCTCCTCCTCCTCCTTAATTCTTTTTCTGTTTCTCCTCCCTCCTTCCTCTTTCTCCTTTTTTCTCTGCTCTCTTCTTTCTTCTTCTCCTCCTCTTTCTCATTCGTATTCCCCTACTAACTCTTTCTTTTTCTCCTCCTCCTCCTCCTCCCCCTCCCTTTTTCTATGTCAATTTCGAGCAGCATTTAGGCATAGAGGAGACAACATCTGTATGGGGGTAATTAAAAAAGACAGTTTTTTGTTCGACAGAAATCGCAGGACTTTCTACAAATTCTGCTACAANCGTTATGTCTTGATGAATTCATGGTATTTTAGACTAGCAACCTAGTTTTGTTGCTTTTGTATATGGATTCTATCTGGTGTTTGCTCTATTTGCTTTTTCATGTCTCAGTGTGGGGTTTTCCATAGGTGACTGATGTTGCTGATGCATTAATACTGAACTGTCTGTTTGGTGGTCTATTCAAAAATGGAGTTGTTAAGTTATTTAAGTTTGCTATATTCTGCGTGTTTATAATCCCTCTGTCTTGTTGAATTGTATATGCTCTGATGGAAGATGACATGGATTCTGTGTGTGTTCAAGTGTAGATCCTTGTTGTTACGTCAAACTGTGCACCAGATAACCTTTATGAAGGTAGATTGCAAAGAGATTTTTCTACCATTCATTTCTACTCTGAAGGTAAAGATATGGATGTTAGCCTGGCTCAAGCCCAATGAGCTTTTGCATGTGTCAAGTTCAATCGCAATGGAAAGAGTTGTTATCTTGCTCCTGAGCCTATATACTGAGGCACCTCAGATGCAGTCTAGTTTGTTTGGTTTGAACTTCTCTGATCTGTACTACTACTCAACCCTACAAAGTAATAAAGGAACATTCGATTAAATTGGCTTTTGGTTTTATATCAATAACTAAAGGCCTCAATTCACTGTCCTTTAAATTTATCATACTAATTCAGTAAATAACTTGGAAACTTACTTTTGGTGTAGGAAAGATGTGTTGTCCATGAAATTGGGTCGTTAGTGGATTATCGAAAAATGACTTCTTTTGCCTTTTGTGTTACAACTTTGTTGAGCATATACTATTTTATCAACAACTAGTTAATTTTGAGTCCCAAAAGTTTGTATGTATATTGGTCATTGATTGTGTTTGTATGTTATTTCAATGAATATTTTAGCTTTGGGATTAGCAAATTTGATTGGAGGAATTTTTGTCATGGGTTACGATGTGAGTAAATTTTCACTTCAACTCCTTTAAGTAACCAGCATGTCTTGTATAACAAACATTGGTGCTTGTTGGCAACAAATATGTTCTCCAAAAAGTATCCCTATTTGAAAACCTTCCAAATTTTAGAAATAGATGTATATAAAAGATTGGTCTCGTTCAGATGATTGCGTTTTGTTGTTTGATCTTCACTGTTAGGAAACTCTTGGTATATATAAGCATCATTGTTGGTTGCCATGAGATGAAAGGGGAAAGGGGAGAGAGCGAGAGTAATGCCCCATCCAATAAATAAATATAAACTTATATAATAAGAGATTCTCTTGAAAACAATTAAGTATATAAACAGTGGAATTTTCAAGGGGGTTTAATTTTTAATGTGAATTATAAACAAAAAACAAAATTAAGAAGGTGGAGGTAGTAGCTAAATAGAGATACACATGGGTTATGCGTGGTTATGTGTACACAACTTAGAAGTTGAGTAGTGAGTCATGACGGAAGCACATTAATAAATATAAAAAGAATAAAAAGGAGGATAAAGCTTTTCATTAAAAAAAAAAAAGAATTGGAGGGAAAGAGTAGAAAAAAATACCAAGAGAAAGGAAAGAAAGAGACTTTGGGGTATGAGAGAAGGGATGGGGAGAAAAAAAAATACCCAAATGGGAGAGAGAGAAGGTGTTTAGGTTAAGTGATGACATTTATATGAATATTGGATAAAATAATAATAGTATTTTGGTATTTTTACGAGTTATGTGATAGATATCCACGTTTGTAATCTGGTCATGAGTTCAAGGAATTTTAGTGTAAAATTTTAAAGTTAAGTGAGGTCATTTGCTTCTATCCTTAAAAATAGGAGCTATTTTGCAATTAATCTTATAAATTATAGTTGTCATTTTGGGGCAAAAACNAGTATCCCTATTTGAAAACCTTCCAAATTTTAGAAATAGATGTATATAGAAGATTGGTCTCGTTCAGATGATCGCGTTTTGTTGTTTGATCTTCACTGTTAGGAAACTCTTGGTATGTATAAGCATCATTGTTGGTTGCCATGAGATGAAAAGGGAAAGGGGAGAGAGCGAGAGTAATGCCCCATCCAAAAAATAAATATAAACTTATATACTAAGAGATTCTCTTGAAAACAATTAAGTATATAAACAGTGGAATTTTCAAGGGGGTTTAATTTTTATTGTGAATTATAAGCAAAAAACAAAATTAAGAAGGTGGAGGTAGTAGCTAAATAGAGATACACATGGGTTATGCGTGGTTATGTGTACACAACTTAGAAGTTGAGTAGTGAGTCATGACGGAAGCACATTAATAAATATAAAAAGAATAAAAAGGAGGATAAAGCTTTTCATTAAAAAAAAAAAAGAATTGGAGGGAAAGAGTAGAAAAAAATACCAAGAGAAAGGAAAGAAAGAGACTTTGGGGTATGAGAGAAGGGATGGGGAGAAAAAAAAATACCCAAATGGGAGAGAGAGAAGGTATTTAGGTTAAGTGATGACATTTATATGAATATTGGATAAAATAATAATAGTATTTTGGTATTTTTACGAGTTATGTAATAGATATCCACGTTTGTAATCTGGTCATGAGTTCAAGGAATTTTAGTGTAAAATTTTAAAGTTAAGTTAGGTCATTTGCTTCTGTCCTTAAAAATAGGAGCTATTTTGCAATTAATCTTATAAATTATAGTTGTTATTTTGGGGCAAAAATATAGTTCAAAATATAATAATTTTTCACATATTTGTGTATGAAAATTTATTTTTTATTTAAAATTTTTATTAAATTATAATATTGTCGTTCTATAATTTTTTAAAAGCAGAGAGGTACTTCACCGCCGCCTCAAAGTATAGTGGTAATTTGTATGTAATCCTTTATTATAAAGGAAGAATTATGCTTATCCTCTTGAAGTTTGTCACTTAATTACTTAGGTTTCTGATATTTGAAAATATTACATATAGACTCCCTACGATTTATACGTGCGTAATGCTAGACCCCTGCCATCAAATGTCTATTAGTTTATCCGTTAATAAATTATATTCAAACATCTATACTTTTTTAGTTTAAAATATTTTACTTAGATAAAAAATATTTCAATCAAATATTTTAAATTTTATAATTAAAATTCATATTTTATTATATTATTTATTGAAATAAAATCAAAAATCAAAATTCAAATTTTTCTTCAACAAATTATAATTAGCATACAATTATAATATCTATTGAAATAAAATTAAAAATTAAATAAGGAGTCAAACCGTAATGAACACAATATCTTTTATCTTTAATTTGAGTAATTTGGTCATTTAATAAATTTCGTTATTTCTGTAACTAGTAAATATTCTAAATGTAATATTTAAAACTTTAAAGGTATAAGTACTACATACTTATAAAATTTAAGGGATTTAAATATAATTTATTAATAAATATACTACCGAAGGGTTAAATTTTAGGAAGTGTACGTATAATATTTTAAATATTAGCGGCGTAAGTAATTAAATGTGTAATTCTCTCTCTTTTTGTTAATTCAAGGGTCAGCTTATGCACGACTAGTCTCCTCCTTACAAATCCGATCAGACGTTATGACTTGGGTATTACCACTGCTGACCCTGTAATCCTGTTGTTCTTCTTGTTGTAGTAGAGTGCTGAAAGCAAATTACTGCTTTGTACTGTGAAGTATTTTTCGAGTTATTCAAGATGGGTGTTTCTTCNATAGTTCAAAATATAATAATTTTTCACATATTTGTGTATGAAAATTTATTTTTTATTTAAAATTTTTATTAAATTATAATATTGTCGTTCTATAATTTTTTAAAAGCATAGAGGTACTTCACCACCGTCTCAAAGTATAGTGGTAATTTGTATGTAATCCTTTATTATAAAGGAAGAATTATGCTTATCCTCTTGAAGTTTGTCACTTAATTACTTAAGTTTCTGATATTTGAAAATATTACATATAGACTCCCTACGATTTATACGTGCGTAATGCTAGACCCCTGCCATCAAATGTCTATTAGTTTATCCGTTAATAAATTATATTCAAACATCTATACTTTTTAAGTTTAAAATATTTTACTTAGATAAAAAATATTTCAATTAAATATTTTAAATTTTATAATTAAAATTTATATTTTATTATATTATTTATTGAAATAAAATCAAAAATCAAAATGCAAATTTTTCTTCAAAAAATTATAATTAATATACAATTATAATATCTATTGAAATAAAATTAAAAATTAAATAAGGAGTCAAACTGTAATGAACACAATATCTTTTATGNGGTATGAGAGAAGGGATGGGGAGAAAAAAAAATACCCAAATGGGAGAGAGAGAAGGTATTTAGGTTAAGTGATGACATTTATATGAATATTGGATAAAATAATAATAGTATTTTGGTATTTTTACGAGTTATGTAATAGATATCCACGTTTGTAATCTGGTCATGAGTTCAAGGAATTTTAGTGTAAAATTTTAAAGTTAAGTTAGGTCATTTGCTTCTGTCCTTAAAAATAGGAGCTATTTTGCAATTAATCTTATAAATTATAGTTGTTATTTTGGGGCAAAAATATAGTTCAAAATATAATAATTTTTCACATATTTGTGTATGAAAATTTATTTTTTATTTAAAATTTTTATTAAATTATAATATTGTCGTTCTATAATTTTTTAAAAGCAGAGAGGTACTTCACCGCCGCCTCAAAGTATAGTGGTAATTTGTATGTAATCCTTTATTATAAAGGAAGAATTATGCTTATCCTCTTGAAGTTTGTCACTTAATTACTTAGGTTTCTGATATTTGAAAATATTACATATAGACTCCCTACGATTTATACGTGCGTAATGCTAGACCCCTGCCATCAAATGTCTATTAGTTTATCCGTTAATAAATTATATTCAAACATCTATACTTTTTTAGTTTAAAATATTTTACTTAGATAAAAAATATTTCAATCAAATATTTTAAATTTTATAATTAAAATTCATATTTTATTATATTATTTATTGAAATAAAATCAAAAATCAAAATTCAAATTTTTCTTCAACAAATTATAATTAGCATACAATTATAATATCTATTGAAATAAAATTAAAAATTAAATAAGGAGTCAAACCGTAATGAACACAATATCTTTTATCTTTAATTTGAGTAATTTGGTCATTTAATAAATTTCGTTATTTCTGTAACTAGTAAATATTCTAAATGTAATATTTAAAACTTTAAAGGTATAAGTACTACATACTTATAAAATTTAAGGGATTTAAATATAATTTATTAATAAATATACTACGGAAGGGTTAAATTTTAGGAAGTGTACGTATAATATTTTAAATATTAGCGGCGTAAGTAATTAAATGTGTAATTCTCTCTCTTTTTGTTAATTCAAGGGTCAGCTTATGCACGACTAGTCTCCTCCTTACAAATCCGATCAGACGTTATGACTTGGGTATTACCACTGCTGACCCTGTAATCCTGTTGTTCTTCTTGTTGTAGTAGAGTGCTGAAAGCAAATTACTGCTTTGTACTGTGAAGTATTTTTCGAGTTATTCAAGATGGGTGTTTCTTCAATTGCCAATTTTGTGCCCTTTTTGTTTTTATGGGTTATTTCCCTCTGCGCAATTCAGGGGAACTACGATCAAGACTATACAACACAGCTTCTAAGCTCAGCCAACAAAGATAAAGATTGGTTAATCTCAATAAGAAGGAAAATCCATGAAAACCCAGAACTTAGATTTGAAGAACACAACACCAGTGCTCTTATTCGGAGTGAGCTTGACAAACTTGGCATCTCCTATTCTTACCCATTTGCCAAAACCGGTTTGGTCGCCCAAATTGGGTCTGGTTCTCCTCCCGTGGTTGCTTTGCGAGCTGACATGGACGCCCTCCCTCTACAGGTAACATTCAAAATTGTGATTTTATCTTTATGGCTAGAAACATATCTTGTTCTCGAGCTTATATTGCCCAGTAAGTAATTGTTTCCCAGTTTGTGTTTTAAAGATTATGCCTATAAGTATGTATAGGAGCTTGTTGACTGGGAACATAAGAGCAGAATTGATGGTAAAATGCATGGATGTGGACACGATGCCCATACAACAATGCTGCTGGGTGCTGCCAAGTTACTCAATCAGCGGAAAGATAATTTAAAGGTGGGTTTTAATTATTTGAAGCTCCGCACTCACATTTCCATTCCAATATCAAAACAATACAGCTTTGTTGCTTTCAGTTATTCTTCTCTCATTTATCAGACTGTCTTTGTCGAGCATTCTTTGTGGTACACCCGACTTTTCATCAAGTTATTTTAGCATAAGTAGAACAAGAAGACCCTATTATGTTGCTTTTTGTTGGCACGAATGCTCCATTTGCTATAATTGATATAATGAGCTATGTCTAAGAGTGCATTACTGATGTTAAGATAAGCAGATAGATCATAGTCTTCAAGACGTTGTAAGGTTCATCGTCAACCAGTATTGGCCAACCATGAAAGACATACCACTAAGATCATAGGATGTTTCTTGCCTTAATATTTTGGAAGTTTGATTGATAAGAATGACTTTAGACTTTTTGAGCTGCAAATGCATTCTAAAGCCTATATTTTTGATCTAATGTCCCCAATTTGTAATGCTGCCTTTGACTAAACTTAATTGGATGGTAGCAATTGCTTAGCAGGGAAAGTGATAGAAAAAACTTGATGCTTTATCCTAAAGCTGTTGCACCTTTACATTCCAAAAGTAAAAAAAGTAATACCCAATGCACAAGCTTCTTGCCTATAGCAAAGAGGTGAAGATTTAAGCGGAACGCAACCATACACCTATTTTGTAGATGTTGATTCCCAAACTTAAACTTACGACATATCACTGGCAGATGATTATTTGCCTGTGCTCAAAATCCAACCTTTCCAATACTAATAAAAACAAACTAGTTTAAGATATTGAATCAACTAAAGTTCAAAAGTCAATGCTCCACACACGTATGGTGTTTTCTCATGTTGCCTCCCAGAGATATTTAGGGTCCCCTCTCTCTAGTTACGCTCTTATCTTAGCTGAATAAGCTGATCCAAAATTTTAGTTGGAACTTTATTTAATTTTTCCTGTGCTTGGTGTTTAAGGGGACTGTAAGACTTCTTTTTCAACCTGCTGAGGAGGGAGGTGCTGGTGCATCTTACATGATAAAGGAAGGTGCTCTTGGTGATGCTGAAGCTATATTTGGAATGCACGTTGATTATACGAAACCCACAGGGAGCATAGCAACTATTTCAGGACCTTGCTTAGCTGCTGTATCTTTCTTTGAAGCAAAAATTGAAGGGAAAGGTGGGCATGCGGCAGAAACCCACACTATTGTGGATCCAATACTTGCAGCAGCATTTGCAATTCTGGCTTTGCAACAGATCGTGTCAAGAGAAGTAGATCCCCTTCAAAGTCAAGTATGTTCTTGACATGCATGTTTTTATGATGTGGTTTCCATCTTCTTGTATTGTATTCAATTGTTAAACCTTTACTAAAGGCTAGAGTCTGTTCCCCGCTTGGAAAAATAACATACACATTCCTCTTGTAGCCACACTTCAAAATCTTTCCTAATTCTCTGTTTTTGTCTTCAAACTGTTCTTATGTGATTTACAGGTTCCGTTGAAAGGAATTAACCTTTCAAAGGTGCTCTCAGACATAGCATCAATTAGCATAGTCACCTATTGATGACTTCCAGTAATCCTTTATGGATTAAGAACTGTTAAAGGAGGTCTTCATGCTTGTTTCTTGCCAATCTTGATAGCCAACAGCTGTTTGGATAGGCAAGAATGAAGTGTATACAGGAAGATCATGAGGATATAAGAACCTTACCTAATTTGACGCTAATAGTTTTGTTTTGGCTGAAGGTACTCTCTGTAACTTTTGTCCGAGGTGGGACAGCGTCAAATGTAATTCCTCCATATGTTGAAATAGGGGGAACTTTGAGGAGTCTCACCACTGAAGGCTTGCACGTGCTTCAGCAGAGGGTGAAAGAGGTACTTATGGTGCCCTAATAGTAACTATTTTCGATGGATCATCATTTCTAATATTCAAAAGCTTTGATGAACCATGACATATTTATGTATCAAAGTGTCCAAGGATTTTTGTGACTAATATGATACACATACATGTCATTTTGGTGTTTGGAAATCTTAATTGAAAAGCCTTTTATGTAATCCCATCAGTGAATAATTTGTATTTTTGTCTTTCTGGAGGTATTTTGATATTCCGTAGAGGATATGGTTCCAAGACCACTCCCCTATGCTTCCTTTTGATTATCCTCAGCTCAAGGCAAAACATGACACTTTGATAAAGGGAGTAAAATACGATTGTGTGGAAATTCCATAACTTTGTTAATATTTCATTAATTTCCCATTCAACTTGGTGTATTGATGTTGGTGTGTCTAAACCTTAAAAAAGACAACATTTTCACATTTTCCCCAGTGTAATTCAAGTATTTTTCTGGTTTCTGTTTGGGTTTTCCTTATTTGTAACTTTTCTCAGGGTCAGGGTCTTTAAATGATGCTTTAAGTCTTACTTGTGATTTTATTTCGGCATCTTATTATTTTCTTAGTGGACGGTTCCTTATCCCTTGAACCCCAGTCTAACAAAATGCTAAATGGTTTCTTCTGATACTAACTTAAAATTACATGATTGAAGTGGCTAATGCATGTATAAATTGGTGATGTGAATGCTTATGAATCTTGTAGATTATTGAAGGACAGGTGGCTGTACACAGATGTAAAGCATACGTAGACATGAAAGAAGATGATTTACCACCATATCCAGCTACTGTGAATGATGAGAGCTTGCATCAGCATGTGGAGGAAGTTGGCAGAATCTTGCTTGGTCCTGAAAATGTCAAGATAGCCAACAAGGTGATGGCAGGTGAGGATTTCGCCTTCTATCAAGAGCTGATACCTGGAGTTATGTTTGGTATTGGGATAGGAAATGAGAAGGTAGGTTCAGTTCACTCCCCACACTCCCCTTACTTCTTTTTGGATGAGGATGTCCTGCCAATTGGGGCAGTGGTGTTCGCTGCTCTTGCAGAGAGATATCTGAAGGATGACCAGCAATGAATTGTGCTCTAAGGATTTTGCTGAGCAACTTGACATGGTGCATCAACATTTTTCCATATTTCAGTTCAATATCTTGTCCTTTCTGTACACAAAAAAAAGTCTTCTGTTTACAGTCCACATCTTGAACTTTCTGTCTACATGCAGTCTGAATGGAAAATAAATTTTTTTGTTCAGCACACACAAGATGCAGTAATCAGATCTTATATTTTCTGGGAGTGCCTTTACTTTCTATTGCATTAGGTATTCGAGTAGGGTAACAAACTGGAGCTAAGTGGATTAGCATTCAAGTAGCTCCAGGACATAGATTGGAAGTTTGGGACGACCATGTAGAACTTTAGAAGTTGGAAATTAGGGCAGACGGAATTGAGGGTTTTATAATTTCAAGGAATGTAATGTCATTTGGGGTGATATTGTTTCCATCGTATACTGGTTTGGTAGCTTTAGACAAGCAATTGTTAGTGCTTATGTAATTCTGCCCAAAATTAGGTGCCAGATGAGATTTCACATCTTCCCTTTCTCGTTGGTATGGAGATTGTTACATTGCCAGCAATAGACCCATGCATGGTGGCTGGATGTCCTTTAGGAGGGACAAGAAAATACATGACATGCTGCCTCCATACATGCAATGCACCTACACATTCAAATAACTTGGCACACCCCTTTGCTTAATCTCAAATGCAAGCCCTCTTTTATCTGCCAGTCCCTGCCTTACTCATTTGTCTGCTAGGCTTGACCTTACTCTTGTGTCTTTATTTGAGTGAGAGGCTTCTATGCGAACAAGGCATGTTTTTTTTTTTTTTTTTTTTTTTTGGGAAAAAGAGTGGGGGCAAATAAGAGTGTCCAAAGACCACTCCGATAGGCCTTCACTGATAAGACCATAAGGCTTTTGACAGAGGACTGAACAATACTCGTGTCAGTCTCCCAACCAAGCAAATAAAGATTAGAAGTAGATTTTCAACTCTTTCATTGTTTGCCTTTACCCTCCAACACGGAAGGGTTTGACATTCTTAAACAAGTGATGAACAGTGCATTCGGTGCACAAAAAAGAATGAGAATAACTTTGGATGCATCGATTGCGTCTTTCGATGAATTAAGGTATAGCAATCAATGGTAGTTTCTGAATGATTCATCTTGTGAAGATGAATCTGGTGCTGAACAATTCAAACAGATCCATTTTTTTCCCTGATTGGGGCTGTTTAATATGACTTATATAATCCGACCCAAAATTGATAACTTTAATATGGATTTAGCCTTAACTGCTTTAAATTGATAATATTTACCAAGTTCACCAACCAAATTCATTTAGTAAATTGATCGATAGCACCTTGACTGCACATAAGTTACACATAACACAAATTCAATACAATACGGCATAAATATGCTTTAAATAAATTTTAAAGCAATACAATTTAAATAGTATAGTACGAATAACTCTTATGTTCTGTTTGGTATAATGAAAAAATAGAAGGATGAAAAGTTGAAAAAATAAAAAGTTGGAAAGATAAATAAAACATCATATTTGGTAAGGATGAAAAATTAGATGGATTAACTTTCCTTCCAACTCACCAAAATTAATCCCTCTGAAATCAGAAGGGGAGTGAATGAAAAGTTAATTATTTGTATTGAGATGTATCTTATTTGTTTATATATCTTTTGATATATACATATACTAGTTATTTCTCATGCCTGAAGGTACAGAGTAATAAAAAAAATGATTAACAATAAAAATATTTATATTCACACCTAATATCAAATTACAAAGATAGAAGAAAAATAAATGAATTTAAACACCGATTACAGTGGGGACAAGCGATGGTAATGATGGTGGATGACAGTTATGGTGGTGAGAGACGGTTATAGTTGTGATGGATGATGACAACCGATTGTAATAGTGACAGTTATAGGTGACAATGGTGATGGTGGTTTTGGGAGGGGGTAAAGTGGGGGTTATGTGGTAGGGGTGGTGGGGGTAAGGGGGCAGAAACAGTGGTGGTGATAGGGCACTAATGAGGTGGTGGCGGTGGGTTACGATAGTGGAGGTGATGGGGCTTGTTGTAGAAGAGGTGATGGTGGGGTGACAGTATCAATGGTGGTGGGGGCGATGGGTGTGGTAGGGTGGCGACAGTGGTTGTGGTGGGGTGGCGGCGGCGGTGGGGCTAGTGTTGGTGGGCGGTTTCCAAACATTATTTTTTTAAAAATATTTATGAAAAGTTATAAGTATTAAAAATATTTTTAAAAAATCATCTCGAACATACCCTTAGGGCCATATTTTTCATATTAAATTTAAAGTGTTAATATTAGTCGTCACATTAACTTTAAAATAAAATTTAAAGAAATTTCAGCTGCAAATAACAAAAATTATTTTATTTATCTTTTGAAATTTAAATTGTATTGTACTTTATTATATAGATTATGTATACATTAATTTCATATAAAAATACAATGATAAAATATGGATTTATATATATATTTTTAAAAAAATTAAAAATTAAAAATTAAAAATTAAAATTAAAATTAAAATTAAAATTAAAAAAAATATTTTTCCGTTTTATCTAGGGATGAAATTTTTGAGTTAACACGACTCAAATTCGACACGAATTTTATGACACGAACTTGATTATAGCTCGACACGAACTTGAAAATGACCTGACACGCGAACAAAAAATGTAAACGGCTCATATTCAGTTCAACCCGTTAAACTCAAAATTGACACAATCAACCGTTTATTTAAAAATAAACACTTTCTCTACTTTCTTGTTTGTATAATTACACGAAATTAACATGTTTAATTAATATTATAGACATAAAATGTTAATTATTTGTAACTATTTATTAAGAACTTACATGATTATTATATAAAAAAGATATTTTTACATATTATTATTATTATTATATTTATTTATTTAAGTTAATTTTTAGTTTATAGAAAAAATATAAACATGGATTCAATTAAGTAAAAAAAGAATATTAACGTTAAATTTTTTATTCAAAGTTTATATGAGTCAACACAAATACGAACATGAACATAATACGAAAATAAACAGGTCAATTCAACATAACACAATTAGTTATATGAGTTGAGTTAGATTTGACTAATATTCGGCACAAATTTGTAATGATTCAACACAAACCTGACACGACAAGACTCGATTGTCACCCTAATCTTAACCAGCACAATAAAAAAAAAATAATTTTTATTTTCCATTTGTCCTACCAAACACAAAGGAAGGAAAGCATATCATTCCTACTTTCTTTTTTTGAAGGATAAAAACTATTTTTCATTTTTCATTTTTCTTACTTTCCATCATTTCTACCAAACAGAGCATTAGGATGATCTAGTGGTCAAACAAGTCCTCTTACAAGTAAGAGGTCTCAAGTTTGATACTTCTCACACTCTTTAAGGACTAGCCACCCTTATTTTTTAGGGAACATTTTTTTAAACTCGCTCGAGTTTACGGTGGCTAGCTCAAAACTGAATAGTCAACACAAGATTGAATGCCCTGAACAATAAAAAAAGTATATTACGAATTTAGTGTGACACGATTTATTATCATTCTTAATCCAAATATACGATTAAGTAATAGAATGCAAAGCACGACATTAAGGCTTTGATATCTTTTTTTTCAATGGCTGGGGTGTCCGAACCGGTTTACATGTACTTTGACAAATCTTCTCCCCGGTCTGGTCATAGATAAATCATCTACACTGAGACGTGTTCATAAGAGATAAATTTCTCATGACTTTATCCCTAAAAATTGCCAATCAACAAAACTGATTCCAGATGTTTGGGACCAGAGAAAAGATGACCCATTCCCTTCCTTACTTTGCTGGTAGTGTAATAAGGCCAGTGCAGCGCAATTCCACCTATTTAGAGGGAGTGTCATTTCTTCGTTTTATACCTAATAAGAACATAGGAGGTCTTTCTCATTTCCAGCCTTTCTGATGTTCCTTACGAGTGGTAATTCTTCGACTCTCATGTGTAAAAAGTTACCGAAATTCAAACTCAGAATATCTAATTTTATAACTCATTTTTGTTATCACTTAAACTACACTTTATAGTTTTGATATCTTATTAACACAACCAGTGACAAATATTAAGCGCAAGGTTAGAGATGTTGGCAATTATGAGTTAAACATTATGCCTTAATGCATACATGAACAACTGTTTTCTGTAGCATGAGATATGAATTATATAAGCAAGTATCTTGAGTTAATCACCACTACTGTAAGTTTAAGGTTATGATTACTTTCGCTAAAGGAGTGGTCTCAAACAATATAGCTCTCTAGAAAAGTTGTCCATTCCTTTTATAAACTTTTGTAGACCTTAGTAGATCAGAGTCTCTTTCCTCTCTTTTTTTTATTTTCTTTAATGAACTTTTAACTTCCCACAATAAAAAACTTATCCTCCTCAGATCATTTATATTTCTTTTAAGGCATGTTTACAGATGTAAGATTTGTATCCAAAACGTTTTCTTTGCACCTAACGAGATTCATTGATCCAATCACACGTTGCATGATTTGGTATGGACAAAAAATTTGAAAAAAAAATTAGAATGTGTTGCAGTTTGGAATTAATGGGACTCATTAATTAGAGTATATACGTTGATTTGAGACGAAACTTTTGAAATATTTTTGGATTGTATAGAGTAGTTTTGATCAATCTAAACAGCCATCCACTAATTCTGTACTTAGAAACAAAAAAGAAAGGTTTTAATGGGTGGTTGAGCATGACTGCTTCCTAACCTGATAAAGCAAGTGACCAGATGATGCTAACCTCTTTTTCTAATCACGACGGTTTGCCCCCCACCCTTCTCCTTCAAAGAGTCAATCACATCCTGTTAAGAACAACAAAATTTTAACCACACAAATATTATTTTTTGTTTGGTTTAATGGTTAGGAGGACTCAAGAGTGTTTGAATTAATTTACGTGTATCTCGACTATTCTAGTCAAAGATAGACTATTTACACCAATACTAAGTAATTCATGAGGTATAAATCACTTATATCCTGGTATTAAAGAACTACAAAAATTCACATCTAAATTTACAATTTATTATTTTTATTATCATTTGAGATACCAGAGTTAATTACATAATCATTACCACCGAAAAAAGATGATGTTAAATAAATAAGGTCAAACTTCTCTGCCGAGTCATTTCCATGCTTTATGACATAAGCAAGTTAGGGCTGCTTTCTCTCTTATTTGCACCTTTTTCTACCATGGAGAAAATTACAAACTGAACTTGAAAGGATAAGTTCGAGTTTTCAACTAGGGTAATACTTTGTTCAAAAAAAAAAAAACTAGGGTAACACTACCGTGACCGGCATATTTTTGGCTATCATATCGGAAGTTATTATTACAAAATAATAACATGATAATGACATAAGCTAATAAAACAACGACGAAATAGATGGACTTGTAACAATCAATTCTAATGATTTGAGATTCACCTAGCTTTTTTTTTTATATCGTAATTTGCATGATTACAGAAGAGTTGTAACCAACTGTTATTTACTTGTTTAACTTGAGTACGAAGTCGGGTTTCAAGGAGAGATGTATCACATCAATCTCCATGTTGATGCAGTTTGGTAAGTTAGGTGATGAAAGATCATAGTTAGGCAGCAAACACACCCTTGTCACCCCTACTTTGGTGTTAAGAACTCATCAAATCCGGTGTATGAAAAGAGTGAAAGTGAAAGAACATTGCAGCCACAACCAAAAATCATTTTAAATATCTTATCAGAAACAGTCCCAAGAAATATTCCAGAAAATTAAGATACGAACAATGGAGAAGAAGCCATAATCATCTAAGAAACCCAGCAAGCCATGTAAAGCCAACTTTCTAGTATGCAAATGATCTTTACAGTCCACAACCATCCTTGATGCTCAAGTTACCAAGAAAAAGTAAAAGATTGATACTCCCCTTTGCCGACTAATCTACACAGAAAGTCGATAATGTTCCAAAAGGTACTTTTGAATTGGTGAGGAAAGACAAATGTTATAACCGACTAAATGAAGTAACATTGTCCTAATAAAAAAATGTAAATTTAAAACATGTAAAAGTTCATAGGACTAACTATTATCACATTTTTTGGTCTCTATTTTTGTCTTATTTATTTATTTATTTTTATCAATTTTCACGGATTTATAAATATTTGACATAATTGTATGGACATCTTTTCACATTTAAGAAAAAATACAATATTAAGATCCCAATTGTTGGACGGCCTTAACATTAGACATATCAAAACATTAAACTTGCTGCTTTTGTGGTGGTCGTTTCTGTTTGTTTGTAGTGCATTCTTCACAATCACATAGCATTTGATGTTTATGCCATCTTTAAATATTCTGGTTTATCTAAGAAGAATCATAATTATTGAATTGATATCGAGTCTTAACGAATATTTTAACCCATGTGAATCTAATAGTTATGAGTGACAGAGTTAACAAATTAGATAAGTAAATAAAGTTCAAGTAATATTGATTAGTAGCCAATAGTGACATATGCCAATTTCCCCTAAACTATTGGATGTATTAGTTACATTACGTCAGTATTGTCACGTGATGTAATTGTCTAATGTTAAATAAACAAGTAGACAAGGTGATCCCATTTTTTTTTTAACATGGGTGGTCGTTATCCAGTAATGTTATGCTTATCAAGTTTCTTACCAAATTTTTTATTCTAAGTGATGTGACACTTAGAATGGAAAATTTGGTAAGAAATCTTTATTAGCATTGCATTGTTGGGTTATTATCTGACATGAGTCTATAAAAATTGGCCTAATTTTGTGCATTTATTTATTTAACATTAGATGTGTACATTATATGACAATAATAATGGTGTGGTGTATCTGTTAAGCTTAATAATTTTTCAGTAATGTTACGCTGACTAAATTTTAAAACTAAATTAAGAACCAAAATAACATGACAGCTAAGTTGAATTTCTTTATTTGGTANTGTATCTGTTAAGCTTAATAATTTTTCAGTAATGTTACGCTGACTAAATTTTAAAACCAAATTAAGAACCAAAATAACATGACAGCTAAGTTGAATTTCTTTATTTGGTGTCATATCATTTGGGCCCAATAAAGACTCTAAATCATATGTTGACTCTTAGTTTGATCCCAAAATTTAATCAGCGCATTATTATTGATAATTTTTCGAGGCCAAAAATAAAACTACCTAATTAACAGGCATCACCTTCTCTCTCTCTCTCTCTCTCTCTCTCTCTCTCTCTCTCTCTCTCGTGGTTCTCTTCTCAAGAAGTGTCATACCTTCTCTATATAAGTTTGCCTACCTTATTCCTTGGAATCCCTCCTTC